ATGGTATTTTGTAAAAATAGAAAATGTTATGAGCTTAATAAATGTATTATTATAGTATTTTTATAAGGTAGTTTAATTTTAAATTATTGTATGTGACTGAAAATAGATTATGTAATTCTATAATCTCTTGAATTAAGTATTCTTAGTTACTTTAGTAATTGAGAATACTTAGTGAAGTTCACATTTGTGATTTTGATTTTATGGGTTCTCTTAAGTAATGAAATATAAGTGGAGAATTATTCATTCATTCTTGATTTTGGAAAGCAATATTGTTAAGGATTAGTTTTAATTATTCACTCCAAGTTGTACATTACAGGGAATAAATGCATATGTATGTGATACCATATTCTCTTAGGAATTATCCTTTATGAAGGGTTAGCATTATGCAGTATATTCTTGGGCATTTCACTGATATTTGGATATATAAAGGCTTATGTGTAATAAACCATCTGATGAGAGGATGTATATTTTGTGGGGTGGACCAGTGGAAGCCATGACCCATTCTCCACTGAGTGGTTTGTCATATGACTTAGCCAGCAGGAATTTTCTCTGAGTAAAACACCCACCATTCTTTCAAAGAGAAACTTCTGTAGTTTGTGTTGGGGTAGCTATGGCATCTGTGAAGCAATCATCAGTGACTTGCACTTAAAAATATTATATAAAAATGAGTGGACATGGTTACAGCATATATGGATGACCAAGGAGGAAAGGAACTGAAGAAAATGTGGGTACAAATTAAAAAGATAATAGGAAATAAGTCAGTGAAATGGCAATGTGGAAATTAAAAAAAAGTGAAAGTCCACTATGGGGTATGTAAATAAGTGGTTCAAAGAACTGACATGGGATGTTGGTGAATGAAAGTAACCAGAGAGAAGAACTATGGTGGTGCTTCCTAACATGATTGAGACCAAGCACTCTGCTACCTGAGGAGGAAAGTTTCTATGGTCTGTCATATATATTTTGATATATTAATTGGACCGCATTATTATTTCTTAATGCATAATCATGTGAGCACATTTCTCAGCCAGCACCTCCTTGTTGCATGTGGCAGCTTTATGCAAGCTTGTTTTAAGTATGATACAGGCACAGTAATCTCTTGCCTCTTGCTGGTTCATTAGATGTCAATATACTTTTTTGTGATGCTTCATTTCTACTAGAAATTCTGTGTCCAATATCGATTAGATTATTTGATCATATCAGAGCAGTTCACTAAATAAAATTAAGATTTCTGTAATAAAGAAATGAGTGTTGATGACCTGGCTGAGGTTACAACAGCTGGCATGAGCCTGGAATGTGTCTACCACATGAAGCAAGAGATACAGTGCCTCTGGTTAGATGTGTGTTTGTGTTGCATGGTGCTTTACTAGTCTCAGAATTACTCTGTGTAGAGTAGTATCTTTGTAAATAGGGTATGCTTATAGTCTTTGTCACTGTATTGTAATATTTAGTTTTTAATTTTTTTTAACTACTTATAAAAAAAATACCTTTTGTTTATTTAGTAATAATTTTTGTGTGTGTGTGTGTGTGTGCAGAATTTTGCCCTCTAAGCTTTATTTTCTAGCATTAATATCTTCATTTGATTTTTGTTGCTATAAAACTTTAGATTTCTAATGTGGGTTTATTAGAAAGAGAATTAGTTTACAGGTTAACTCTTAAAATGATGGAGGGTAGATAGTGTGCTGAACATTCTTAATGAGTGTCTAGGAGCGATCACCTCTTTCAAGCCAGGGGTTGCCTTGATGCTGAAGGAGTCTTGATCCAAGGAATTGGAACTGCCCTCCCTTTCCTCAGACCAAACTAGATTATGTCCCATTCCCAAGAGCTGTATGATCCTTATTGATTTAGTTCTTCTGTTGTATTTATTACCGTATTTTATGACATATGAGGTGCATGAGCATATAAGACATTGAAGATGATGTTTCTAAGTACGTAGTTGCAATGTAATGTTACAACTGCTTGGAATCATAATGTAAACAACTGCTAAAGTATAACCCAAAGCTCACCCTTGACCCTGACCTGGAGCACATAAGGTGCAAGGTGATTTTCCAAGACTTTTTGTGGGAAGAAAAGCACACCTTATATGCCAGAAAATATGGTAATAATAAGGGTAATCGCTGGTCAGAGGTCATGCAGCAATTAACAGACATAGGATTGAACCTCCACCATTTCACCACTTGTGTTATTGCTTTACGGGATACATCGCAGGTATACAATAAAGCAGCTATTAAGCAAGGTCCCCTTAAGTAGGTAGTAAATTGAGCAATCTAACTTAAATATTTAGTTAACTCTTGAGAATGTTTCATGCTGAAAGGTACAGGGAGTAAGCTCGAATTTTCATAGTATGTATTTACTATCCAACTACCGTATTTAAAATTGTAATTGTAACTAGTTCTGTATTGTAGTACATGTACTGTACTATGCTTTTGTTAATTTGTTGTAATACAATCTTTTTAATTTTTTCAGCGTTATAAATGCATGACGGGTTCGTAACACGTTAACTTTTATTCAAAAACGAAATACAACTAATTCAAGTTCGATTCTTCTTTCTGCATATATTATTATTAATTCAAAATGAAATGTCACCAACAAAATTTATTTGATTATGAAAGTCTTATTGAAATTTGAATTAAAACTTGTTCTTTCTTTCAACAAACTGGCTGTATCCCACAGAAGCAGGGTGGCCCAAAAAGAAAAACAAAAGTTTTTCTTTTTAACTTTAGTAATTTTTTTTTTTTTTTTTTTTTTTTTCCAACAAGTCGGTCGTCTCCCACCGAGGCAGGGTGTAATGTATACAGGAGAAAAGGTTACTAGTCCCATGCTCCTGGCAATTTAGTTGCCTCTTACGATATGCATGGCTTACGGAGGAAGAATTCTGTTCCACTTCCCCATGGAGAAAAACTTGTAGTTATGGATGAGATAATTTAATGCTTCAGTTTTGTACGATGGGAACCAAGATATAATTCTTACATATTGACATCACAGCAAAGTATTTATAATTTCACTAGTATTTTCATAGATCAGTCTGGAGGGTTATTTGAAATGGGATTTCTTTGCATTTCTGGCAAGACAGCTACTGAATGAGTGATGGTGAATGTGTTTCCTTTTTTGGGGTCACATCAACTTGATGGGAAACTGCAATGTTGTAAAGAAAGGAAACTTTATAATAGCAGTTTCATAATGCAGTACAGAGGGCAGTTGAATAAACTGAACTGATAGACTTGGAAAAATGTCCTGTGATATTTTAAGAAGTTCAGGATGAGGAAATGCAAAGCTATTACAGGAGGGTCCCATTTTTACATCTCTTAGGTTTCCAGCAATAAGCTAAAATTGTCAGCAGGTGGGATAGAGCATTTTTTTTCATTATCAGATGCGTTTAAAACTCATGATAATGTGTGTATACTATCATATATTAAATGCTCAGTCCAGGCATAATAAGATACAAAAGTAAAATGAATACACAATACATACAATACATGTACTTGCCTTAAAATATAGCTCCAGCTGCCATTCCCTTATGCAACTGTTGTGTGAAAGAAGCAGAAAAGTGAAAAAGTCACCTAACAAAATGAACAATGGCTCAATTGAAAGCCTCCGAAAACATGGAAACACTGTATTTGGGTGGTGCCTGAGGCTTACAGTCGAGGGAATTTTAGTGAGTGAATCAGCGGAACCAAAATTTGGCTTGAAAACCCTAAAATATTAAATCTCCCTAAAATGAACATGCACCATACTGACAGGGAATGTATTAATGCCAAACATGTTAAAAAAAGTTAATGATTTAACTTGAAAAAATATATACAGTACTCTTTTTTTTTTTTTTTTTTTTTTTTTTTTTTAACAAATCGGCCGTCTCCCACCGAGGCAGGGTGACCCAAAAAGAAAGAAAATCCCTGAAAAGAAAATACTTTCATCATCATTCAACACTTTCACCTCACTCACACATAATGACTGTTTTTGCAGAGGTGCTCAGAATACAACAGTTTAGAAGCATATACGTATAAAGATACACAACATATCCCTCCAAACTGCCAATATCCCAAACCCCTCGTTTAAAGTGCAGGCATTGTACTTCCCATTTCCAGGACTCAAGTCAGTATACAATAATAAAACTACAGTTCTTGTGTCAAACAGGTATGAGGCCACCGCATATGCAAAACAAACTTTTTTTTTTTATTAATGCACCGGCTGTTTCCTGCCGAGACGGTGATCTAAAAAGAAAGCGAAAGTTTTTCTTTTTACATGGAGAAAAGGTTACTAGCCCCTTGTTCCTGGCATTTTAGTCGCCTCTTATGACATGCATGGCTTATACAGGAAGGATTCTTTTCCGCTTACCCATAAAACAAACATGCTGTACAAAAAAAAAAAAAATGCATTTGATGAACAAACAGTGGAGAAAAGAATCTAGGCAAAACATTTGTACCGTAGAGTACCTGGCTTACATTGGCATATTGGGCCAAACTTTTATTCCATCACATTTTCATAAATATGGCCAGTGGCATTAATAGTGAAATTTTTCAGTAAAATGGCTGAGGAAAGAGCATTGGGTCTTGTAAATGCATTGACTTTACTCTGGAAAATATTCTGAGGTTGAATTTGACTAAAGTCCCAAGAGCCCAGGCAAAAGTTTCTTGGCGTTGTATGGCGAATTGGTAGTGCTTTCACTTGATCAAAAATAGAGCAAAATTTTGAATTTTAGTTTGGAAAATTTTTGACTGGATTTGTTTCTTGATAAGAGAGACCAGATTTCTGTCATTTTAAATTTTCAATAATTCTAATACGTACATCTTCACACACATTAGTGCAAATAAATGAAAAATTGCTGATAAGGTCATCAAAAGGTAAGAGACAAATCTTATTTTTGGCTTGAATCTGCTTTATATTTTTTTGGCTTTTTTTTCTTTAGTGTTTGTTTTGCAGCAAGTTTTGATTTGTATTTATTTGATTTAGCTTATTTTAGTTTTCTCCTTAGTTTTGTTAATTTGGTGTGTTTATGTTTGCAGGTTGTGGTGTAGGCGTTTGGACTGTAGTAGGACTAAGGCTGCGTGTATGTTGTTGTGTAGTGTGTGGCTTACTGCATGATGGCTGCTACTGCTGCCTTGGAGGGTGCTGGCTCACCTCACAAGGAGGAGCTCAATGTGCCTTCTGTTGTTCAGCCTCGTAGAGGAGCCTCCACTGGCACCAATTCCACTCTGTTGCATGATTCTTCACAGCGCACTGCCACCAACACAGCTGCTGCCATTTCCCCCACCACCCCTGCATCTGTGGGAGCCTCACTACATTCATCCATATCTACACCCACAGGCACCAAGCTGGCTGTCACCACACCCTCTGAGTCACCTGCGGGGGGTGAAGGTGACAACATAACGCTTGATGAGGAGAAAAAGATTGCACTCAGCCAGCTGCAAGAACTGGAAGAGGCTATCAAAGTACGAAAAGTGACCAAGGTTGATGGCCGGAAGGTACGTTGGATTGAATACCGTGCCCGTAAACAGGCTGCAGAAGCGAACCAAACGACGTTGAACAAGAAAAAATCACATAGGTCTAAGTCAAAGCCCAATGAAGAAGAAAACAGCGAAAATGATGCAAATGTTGTGAACAACAATAACAATAATAATAAGAGTGAAAACACCATGAAAGTGGATATGGCCACTACCCCCCTGAGTGTGGTCGGAACTAATAATGTACTGGAGACTATGAAGCAACAATTTCTGCATGGTACTGAAAACGGAGAGAAGGCACGCACAAATGGTACCACACAAAAGAGAAAATCTGGAAGAACTCGTAAGTCTGTCAACACTCCAGAAAGAGTCAATTCTAATAGTAACACCCCTCAGAAATTAAGTCCTACTGAAACCAAAGGGACAAATGTAAATAGTGTGACTGAAGCAACGACTAACACTTCCGGAAATAGCTCACTGACAGATATTGCACTTAGTATGCCAAACACACCAACAACACTATTTATCACAGAACCAGCTCTTGTAGTGGCTCCGGAGAAGCCATTTTTTTGCATCAAGTCTCTGACAAAGGGATTACGCGAAGTCCGCAAGTCAGAGAACGGTGTAGATGGTGAGTGCACTACGAAATCAGATGATGGGAAAACTCCAGGTTCCCCTCCACTCCCTGCTTTATCTTTAGTATCTGCTTCAGCCCTGCCTGGAGAAGTAATAACAGATACAAAATCATCATCTGCTCTTATTAAAACTACTTCAAAATTGCTTTCACTCTCTGCAAGGTCAAGATCTGCAGATAATACATCAGCGAAGGGTAAGCATATAGGTGGTCAGAAAGGAGGTAATAAAAAAGCTGGTGCCAAAGCTGGTGGAAGATCAGAATCAGAACCAAGAAATGTAATGAATGGTCACACTGAAGTACTACAGAATGGTTCAGCTGAAAAAAGCTCCTCTCTAGATTCACAAATGAGTAAACCTGCTACTCCAAACAAAAACAAAATGAGTAAAGAAAAATCCCCCTCGAATGTTGCTGATCTAGACACTCGGTTGAAACGGCCAAGAGGCAGACCGCCTAGAAAAGTGTCAAAGATTAGCAAAGATAGCAGCAACCCATCAGGGAAGTCAAGTAAGAAAGTAAAAACTGTGGTTGTAGATGTTCATAACAGTATGAATGGTGAACCACAGACTGTGATCCCAGTTAGTCGGCCAGTTTTAAGAGGGAAGAGAGTTTCTCCGACTAAGAAAATTTCCAAAAAAGCTGCAGCAGTCGTAGGAGACACTGGTGGTTCAAGCACTAAGCATTTGTCTCCTTCACTAAAATTGCCAAAAGCTCAGGAAGAATTGAAATGCAAAGGTGAAAAGGATCAAAAGGATATTCAGCAAATTCTTCCAGCACTTAGTTCTAAGAAAAGGAAATCTTTAATAAGTAAGAATGATAGTGAGCCTAATCTAGGAGACAAGGAAGAAAAGGAAAATACAAGTGCCTCAGTTTGTAATCAAACACCAGAGTCTTCGGATAAAACCCAGAGTACAAAGTTGGTAAAAGGCATTCGCAAGTCCTCACAAAAAGAAGTGCCCTCATTGCCTGAGCCAGGAACTCCCAATGCCATTTCATTAAGCCTTATTCCTGATAAGGAACCAAAATCTTCAAAACGTAGTCGAAAACTAGAAGCAGCGCAAGCCAAAAATAAGAAAACAAGTCGGAATTCAGTCAGAGCTGCAGTAGGTAAAAAGATGACATCAGCGGGAGGTAATAAGAAGACTAGAAGTTCTCAAGCACGGAAAAAGAATGCCATGAAAAATTATACGTTGTCACAGAAAAGCAAAAGTGTATCAAAGGTTATTTCTGTGGAGAAAGAAGTATCCCCTGAAAAGGTTAGTCCTTCACTAAAAGATACTACTGAAAATATCCCTTTGCAAGAAGAAAGTATTTTGCCCAAGAATAGTCCTAATGAAAAAGACAAAATTGTTTTTGCAAATGGTACTTCCCCAATATATGATTCTACAAAGGCAGCAATTTCTCAAGAGGAAATTATTGCAAACCAGATGAATTCTGCAGATACAGATCTTTTGCTGCAGGAAAGCAGTAACTTGCCAAAAGTTCAGCATGTAGAGAATACTTCTAGACTGGAGAACAATGCTCTATCAGAAACTCGCTCAACGGATGAAGCTACATCTCTCTTAGAGGATAATATTTTGCCAGAGGATAATTTTATGGAAAAAAGTACTTCTCTACAGAAGGGTGATGCTTCACTACTAGAAGATTCTGTTGAGAATGATAATGGTAGGCTGAACAATAGTAATAAGGAAGAAAATAAGTCTGTAGAGGATAATTGTGTAATGAACAATAATTTGGCAGGAGCAAAGTGCAGAGAGGAATTAATTTGTGTACAGGAGAAGAATATTTTACCAAAGGTAGATAATTCTTTGGCAGAAGATGAAATCACAGAGGTTACTGCTATCCAGGAGACCAATACTCTGCCAAAATCAGAAGCTAATTCTTTAGAGAAGGAGACTGAGCTACATGAAGAGAGTATTTTACCAGAAACTAAATCTGAAAACGAGGATAAGTCGCAAGACAACAATGTTTTACTAAAAGTTGAGTCAAAAGATAATGCTTCTTTTCAGACTAACAGCACAATCCCAAAGGCCGAGTCCACAAAGGAAGACTGTACATTGTTGAGAGGAAAATCTACAGATGAAACTGATCCAGCACCGGAAAATACCACTGTGTCAGAAACTAGTTACATAGAGAAACTTAAGTCTTTACAGAAGGTAAGTTCTACTAATAACAATGATCCTCTACAGAAGGGCAGTAATGCATTAAAAGAATACCAGACAGGTAAGAGCATTAAAAATGCTAAAGAGAGCCCGTTGCAAAAAGTTATTGTTACACTGAACCGAAATCACTTTCAGAGTGATAATAAAGCATACAAGAATCAGCCCCTGCCGAGATACCTTTCATCTAGCAAGGCTCATTCTGGTAAGAGAGAGAGTCAAAATGAGAAAATGCTGCTACTTCAGGAACAGTCTCCAGGCCAGGACAATAGTTTGTCTCGGATATGTGGACAAGTTCAAGATAATTCTCCCAAAGCTTCATCTCAGATACCAGGAATGGTTCAGAACTGTTCTGGAGACTCATCTCAGATACCTGGACAAGCTCAGACTTATATTTTTAAGGGCTTGCCTCAAATATCTGGACTAATTCAGAACTATACTCCTAAGGACTCATTTCAGATATCTGGACAAGCTCAGGCTTATACACCTAATGACTTGTCTCAGGTATCTGGGCGAGCTCAGAACTATACTCCTTCAGAGGAAGAACGATTAAGCCAGACAGATAGATCATTACATAAAAATAGCCCTATTCGAAGAGGTAATATGCCAGAGACAGATAGTTTTGTTCTTAAAGATAGACTTCCTGGTAAAAATGATTCAGATCAAGTCAAGTGTTCTGTGCCAAAAGGTGTTACATCCCCCAAAGATAATCCAAAGGATGGAGGGTCAGCTCAGAGGTACATGTCAGAAAAAGATAATCTTTCTCTTAAAGATAAACATCATGGAAAAAATTATTCAGATTATGTCAAGTGTTCAGTGCCAAAAGGTGTTGCATCCCCCAAAGATGATCCAAGTAATAAAGGTTCTGCTCAGAGGGATAATCATATGCCAAAAAATGCTGCTGCTCAAACCAATAATTTATGGGAGACATATAGTCAGGCACCCTTAAAAAGTTTCATTCAGAGAAGCATCCATGTACAAGAATTTTATATGAAAACACACAGCAGTTCACCAGTAACCAATACTAGTGAAAAACAAATAGGCAAACATAGATCAGTAACTGAGGTGATAAATTCTTCCAATTTAGAGCATAATGCAAGAATAGTACCAGAAGATATCTTAAAAAAAGATATTGTATGTGAGGAAAATCTAGCAAGCAAAAAACCCTCAAAACTAGATGATGTTAAGAAAACCGAAGAATTAGAGATAGAAGTTGTTCAGCAGGAAGAAAAAGTTGATGCGGTACCAGTAGACAATGGTGAATGGACTAGTGGACCGCAGGCAGTTAATCTGACACAAAAGAGTAAAGTTAAGAATCAAGTTTCAACAGAATTTATTGAACAAGTCAGTAGTCAAGATAATACTGAAATGCAGGAATGCAGAATTGTTGCAGAAAGTGCTAGTGAAAATCTTGAAACTAAACATGACATACACTCACTAACAAGAACTGAGAAAGATGGAGAAAATAAGATTAATGAAGATAGTACACATGATGCTACCAAAACTCTAGAAACTAGTCAAACATTAAACACTTCCTCAGATGTTATCAAGGTAAAAGATAAAAATAAGTTACCAGAAGAAAATGAGATTTCCATATTGCAAGAAGGGAGAGCAAAAGCCATGCCTACTATATCACAAGGGAGGAATAAAGCAAAGCCTAGTTTATCACAAGAAGGGAGGGGTAAGTCAAAGGCTATTATAGCACAAGAAGGTAGGGGTAAAGCAAAGTCTAGTGCATTTCAAGAAGAGGGAAAAGAAGTAAGGTCATTGTCCACAATGTCGTCGTCATCAGAAGTTCCAATTCCCTCAACTGCAAAATCTAAGGAAAAAGTTCCTAGGATTTTGAAGCAGCTTTTTCAAGATGAAGGCGTTCAAAACATGCTCAAAAGTATGGGTGAAGACTCTGGTATTGCTCCCGAAACTTCACCAAACAATGACCCTGGCATTCATAAACTACGTCCTAAGAGAGCAACTGAACCAATGCTATCATCTTCCCCTGAATTAGATGCAATGGAAGCTCTTCTTACCTCTGCATCTAAGAAGAAGAAAAGAGGCAGTGAGCTGGACATATTGTACATGGATGAAGGTGTACTCAATCTCTTGACCAGCTTGGAGCCCCATTCTAGAAGAAGTCATTTAGATGATGCAGCTAGTGATACATCTCAAGCCAGCAGCTCTAGGAGTGTAAAAGGCAGTAAATCGAGTAAATCTTATCTCGAAGTTAATTCCGAAAGCAGGAAAAGGAAGTTAAGTGGTGGTACTAGTGCAACTAGCAATACTACCATCAGATCTATGCAACCTCCAGAAATTAAAAGGACACGCTTGGAGAGCCAGGACACAAGCAGGGATCCTTATGAATTAGAATCTGCCGAGGAATTCCAGGGACGACCTGTTAGTGTAGAAAATATTTCTTCTGAAGTGGATGTAAATCTTACAAAAAAGAAAGGCAGACCATCACTTCCATTGTCTGTAAGACAAAAAAATAAAGCAATAAAAATACAATTAAAATTACAGAGACAGAAACAAATGAAGAGCATAGGTACAGATATTACTTCACCCAAGGAAGATGATAACATGAATTTGGCACAGCTTCAGGAAGTTTTGAGGAAAGCAAAAGAAACATTTAATAAAACACATTTGCCAGTTACTTCTGTAGAAAAAGTGTCAGACAAATCTGTACCTCCTTTGAAAATAAAGCTGGCATCTGACAGTGTGACCATTAAACCTGTGATAAGACCGAGTCCGGTTCAGCATTCATCTGCAATTCTAGATGTAGGAAAACAGACAAGATTACCTCCCAGACAAAATGCCAATGAAATTCCCATTAGACCTGCATCCAGACCCACACCAATAATTCCGGAGTCAAGAGAGATTGCAAGAACTTCCGTGGAGAAACCCAGAGCCTATCCAGAAAGACGAACACCTCCACCACAGTTTAGAAGAGTGGACACCATGCCCAACCCTAGTGTTGCAAGTAAGTTTATGTGTGTAGCATTCAATCTTTTGATCTTTATAATTAACCATGATAGTGGTACTGTAAGGGAAAAAGGTACAGAAGTTCCTCAACTTGCAAAAAGAGTTGTGTTTTTTGTTTTTCTTTTAGCAAACATTGTTTAGAAACAGTAATACAGTAGTACAAAGGATGATTATACTTAACACCTCTTCAAATTGTAGCTTGGTTAGTTGTTAGAGTTGTAGCTTGATTGATTGTTCGAATTATAGCTTTGTTGTTTGAATTGTAGCTTGGTTGGTTGAGTTGTAGCTTGATTGTTTGAATTATAGCATTGTTAGTTATTTGAATTATAGCTTTGTTGGTTGTTCGAGTTGTAGCTTGATAGATTGTTGCTTTGTTAGTTGTTTGAATTGTAGCTTTGTGAGTTCGAATTGTAGCTTGGTTAGCTGTAAAACTTGAATTGATTTTGAAGTGTGGATGTGTGTAACTTTGGGTGTTTGTAAGTTGTGGACCCTCTGTAAATTATACTGGTATCTCAGTACATGAGGGAGGTAGTCATTGCTAGGTAAGACCTTTATATTATTAAATTTGTAATGATTGGATTGACCTGCAGGTAAGTTATTTTGAGAGCTCCTATTCCAATAATAAATAGCATTTTAAGTAGAGATCAGATTCTTGCTCTTAATATTGACAATTCCAGCAACACTGGTAACATTTATTAAGAATTCTACCTGCTAGTTGAGTCAGAATATAATGATCATTTAAAGAATTTAGGTGTTGAAAAATTAGGAAGCAAATAAAAGACATTCATGTTCAGGAAAGACATGTTTAGAACTCAGCAGTGATTTTGTGCTGAAAAAATATACTTTGCAAGACTATGTAAGCAGTGGATTTTTAGGCTTCATTAACAAGTCTATTAAATGGAAAGAGTGCTAAATGATTTACATTCATATATTACTTTCTAGTAATACATTACCATTAATATTAAATGGGCACAGTAAATAATGATGAAATGCACATTAGAAAAATGTATTAGTCTTAAAGAACTATGTAAATTAATTATATGTGCTGATGAGATAGTTCACTGAGTAAGTTGCAGACAGATTTATTGGCTTTGCAAACAGTATAAAAACAAAGAAATTTCTTTGTCAAAGAAATTCTAAAAGTACTCTTTGCATCTCCCTTCACTATGGTTATTTTGTAATCACCTTAAAAATTTCAGATATTTTTCAGCATCTAATTTCTCCCCTGACTGTTCCCATTTTCTCGCTAGGTGATATTTAACAGTTATAAGGTTCTTGTTAGGTACAGTACCTTATTTTACAAACAAGACTCAACATATAGTCAAGTAACATCGATGAAATCTAGGGGAATGGCATGCCAGGTTTCACAATGAGTATGTGTGTCTATTTTCATACCAGTATGTATTTGATTTTTCTACAGTATGTAAATTCTCACAAATGCATACACCTTACATGCACACTTACCTACACACACACACACTTTCTATATATACACCTTACATATACATACATATGCACCTTACTTATATGTACCTTATGCACATGCCCCATGCATACACATACCTTATTACACATACTTATCTTACATATAGGTAAGTTTGGGGTGCCAGGTGTAAATGATAATGGAAGCCCTTTGATTGAACTTTATATAGAAAGGGGTTTAGTTATAGGTAATACATATTTTAAGAAAAAGAGGATAAATAAGTATACAAGATATGATGTAGGGTGAAATGACAGTAGTTTGTTGGATTATGTATTGGTAGATAAAAGACTGTTGAGTAGACTTCAGGATGTACATTTTTATAGAGAGGCCACAGATATATCAGATCACTTTCTAGTTGTAGCTACACTGAGAGTAAAAGGTAGATGGGATACAAGGAGAATAGAAGCATCAGGGAAGAGAGAGGTGAAGGTTTATAAACTAAAAGAGGAGGCAGTTAGGGTAAGATATAAACAGCTATTGGAGGATAGATGGGCTAATGAGAGCATAGGCAATGGGGTCGAAGAGGTATGGGGTAGGTTTAAAAATGTAATGTTAGAGTGTTCAGCAGAAGTTTGTGGTTACAGGAAAGTGGGTGCGGGAGGGAAGAGGAGCGATTGGTGGAATGATGATGTAAAGAGAGTAGTAAGGGAGAAAAAGTTAGCATATGAGAAGTTTTTACAAAGTAGAAGTGATGCAAGGAGGGAAGAGTATATGGAGAAAAAGAGAGAGGTTAAGAGAGTGGTGAAGCAATGTAAAAAGAGAGCAAATGAGAGAGTGGGTGAGATGTTATCAACAAATTTTGTTGAAAATAAGAAAAAGTTTTGGAGTGAGATTAACAAGTTAAGGAAGCCTAGAGAACAAATGGATTTGTCAGTTAAAAATAGGAGAGGAGAGTTATTAAATGGAGAGTTAGAGGTATTGGGAAGATGGAGGGAATATTTTGAGGAATTGTTAAATGTTGATGAAGATAGGGAAGCTGTGATTTCGTGTATAGGGCAAGGAGGAATAACATCTTGTAGGAGTGAGGAAGAGCCAGTTGTGAGTGTGGGGGAAGTTCGTGAGGCAGTAGGTAAAATGAAAGGGGGTAAGGCAGCCGGGATTGATGGGATAAAGATAGAAATGTTAAAAGCAGGTGGGGATATAGTTTTGGAGTGGTTGGTGCAATTATTTAATAAATGTATGGAAGAGGGTAAGGTACCTAGGGATTGGCAGAGAGCATGCATAGTTCCTTTGTATAAAGGCAAAGGGGACAAAAGAGAGTGCAAAAATTGTAGGGGGATAAGTCTGTTGAGTATACCTGGTAAAGTGTATGGTAGAGTTATTATTGAAAGAATTAAGAGTAAGACGGAGAATAGGATAGCAGATGAACAAGGAGGCTTTAGGAAAGGTAGTGGGTGTGTGGACCAGGTGTTTACAGTGAAACATGTAAGTGAACAGTATTTAGATAAGGCTAAAGAGGTCTTTGTGGCATTTATGGATTTGGAAAAGGCATATAACAGGGTGGATATGGGGGCAATGTGGCAGATGTTGCAGGTGTATGGTATAGGAGGTAGGTTACTGAAAGCAGTGAAGAGTTTTTACGAGGATAGTGAGGCTCAAGTTAGAGTATGTAGGAAAGAGGGAAATTATTTCCCAGTAAAAGTAGGCCTTAGACAAGGATGTGTGATGTCACCGTGGTTGTTTAATATATTTATAGATGGGGTTGTAAGAGAAGTAAATGCGAGGGCCTTGGCAAGAGGCGTGGAGTTAAAAGATAAAAAATCACACATAAAGTGGGAGTTGTCACAGTTGCTCTTTGCTGATGACACTGTGTTCTTGGGAGATTCTGAAGAGAAGTTGCAGAGATTGGTGGATGAATTTGGTAGGGTATGCAAAAGAAGAAAATTAAAAGTGAATACAGGAAAGAGTAAGGTTATGAGCATAAAAAGATTAGGTGATGAAAGATTGGATATCAGATTGGAAGGAGAGAGTATGGAGGAGGTGAATGTATTCGGATATTTGGGAGTGGACGTGTCAGCGGATGGGTCTATGAAAGATGAGGTGAATCATAGAATTGATGAGGGGAAAAGGGTGAGTGGTGCACTTAGGAGTCTGTGGAGACAAAGAACTTTGTCCTTGGAGGCAAAGAAGGGGAATGTATGAGAGTATAGTTTTACCAATGCTCTTATATGGGTGTGAAGCATGGGTGATGAATGTTGCAGCGAGGAGAAGGCTGGAGGCAGTGGAGATGTCATGTCTGAGGGCAATGTGTGGTGTGAATATAATGCAGAGAATTCGTAGTTTGGAAGTTAGGAGGAGGTGCAGGATTACCAAAACTGTTGTCCAGAGGGCTGAGGAAGGGTTGTTGAGGTGGTTCGGACATGTAGAGAGAATGGAGCGAAACAGAATGACTTCAAGAGTGTATCAGTCTGTAGTGGAAGGAAGGCGGGGTAGGGGTCGGCCTAGGAAAAGTTGGAGGGAGGGGGTAAAGGAGGTTTTGTGTGCAAGGGGCTTGGACTTCCAGCAGGCATGCGTGAGCGTGTTTGATAGGAGTGAATGGAGACAAATGGTTTTTAATACTTGACATGCTGTTGGAGTGTGAGCAAAGTAACATTTATGAAGGGGTTCAGGGAAACCGGCAGGCCGGACTTGAGTCCTGGAGATGGGAAGTACACGCCTGCACTCTGAAGGAGGGGTGTTAATGTTGCAGTTTAAAAACTGTAGTGTAAAGCACCCTTCTGGCAAGACAGTGATGGAGTGAATGATGGTGAAAGATTTTCTTTTTCGGGCCACCCTGCCTTGGTGGGAATCGGCCAGTGTGATAATAAAAAATAAATGTCATATATAAAAACTGACCAAATGGAGCAGTGAAAGAATAATGGGGTTTAATATAGAAAAATGTCATTATACAGTTATAACGACCAGAAGTGTGATTTTTAATTATTGCAGCATAATTTGTTAAAATATAGAGCACTAAACCAGTATTGGTCATTTTATTTATTGTTTCCAGAAAGTCATTCAAATGCAGTAGTGAAAGAACCTTATACAATAGTGATAAATTTTACATTTGCTTTTGAGTACCATAAACATTAAAATAATGTTTAGTGAAACTGATTCCAATATGGAACAGACACAGTCAGAGCCAGATATGATAGCATTAATCCATGTACTGTAATTACACGAAGAAGTCCAGTTAGCTGGACTTGAGTCCTGGTGGTGAAAAGGGTAGTTCCTACACTGAAGGGAGGGATTGGGATGTTGCTGTTGGAGGGTAATTTGAATTGTGTTGTCAGCACACCTGGCAAGATAGGGATTGATTGAATGATAGCGAGTGTATTTTCTTTTTTGGGTCATCCTTCCTTGGCAGGAGATGACTGTTGAGGTAAATAAAGAGAATTCTAATAGCCAGCAAGTGCAGTAGTGGTAGCTTTGTCTATTTGCAAGAGCTGATTGTGGTGTCATCTAGTTCTTATAGAATGTGAAATTTAAACATATTTCATACTTTCAGAGACCTACAGTACTGCATAATTTCACAAACTCATTGTTCTGCCAAAAGAATGTTTTTGTAAAGTTCTGGAAGCTTTAGTACTGTAGATGCTTAAAACTATCTAATACTGAAAAGTCATGAGAAATAAAAATGTTGTATTAGAGGGCAGGTATTAATGTGGCACATAGATACAATACTACCATTGGAAAATTAATAGTAACACAAAATCCAAGGACAACATTGATGTGAGTTTATTTTCTTCCCTGCAAGTTGTGTCCAGAAAACTTAATACAGGTGAGATAGAAGTCTGAATAAATTTTGTTCAAAAGATGTGTTAGAACAGGATATGAGAACAGTGCTGTGATTTGTCATATGGAAGACTGTAATGTAAACTTTGGTAATTGATAACTATTACTTCAATTTTTTAGTTGTGATGAATGGTTTGAAAAACCGACAAGTTGAAGATTGAGACACTTATGCAGCATATGGGAATCTTTATTCAGGAAACGTCTCGCCACACAGTGGCTTCATCAGTCCAATACAAAGAGGAAGGCGTAAGGAGAGGAGGAGTATGAGGTAATCAGTCCCTCAGCCTGGAGTCGATGTGTTCAGTCCATCAATCTTGTAGAATGTGGACTGATGAAGCCACTGTGTGGCGAAACGTTTCCTGAATAAAGATTCCCATATGCTGCATAAGTGTCTCAATCTTCAATTTTTTAGTTATATATAGAGAGGTGACTGCTGAATCAAAACTATTGCGAGATGAGTCACATCTGGGTCACTGGTAATCTCTGTAAAATACTTTAATGACTGGTCACTCTTGGAAATTGCCGCAAGTGGATGTGAGGTCATCAGGTTCTGTCACTTCCTGTCTTGGGGATACTTTTTGGTCTGTTCCTGTTCCTCCCAAATCTTTTCTAATTGTAAGTCTTTTATAGTATATCTATGAGGCTGGTATGTCCTGTACAAAGAAATGTTAGATGATGAATATTTCTCTCATATTTTTTCCTTCAAGGTCATTGTTGTGATGCCAGTGAAGAGAACGTGATCCAAAAAATTTAAAACTACCCTTCCCTTCCATGAGTCAAAACCTAATTATAGTGGTACCTCGAGTTACGAACTTAATTCATTCTAGAAGATTATTCGAGTGCTGATACCGAATGAATTTGTTCCCATGAGGAATGATGTAAATTAGATTACATGTAGTTTATTTCAGACTCCCAATAATACACTTGAAAAAGCACTTTCAAAAATACACTTACATAATTGTTCGAGTTGGGAGCTGTTCGAAACTCTAGGTACCACTGTACTTCTTATTTCCCAAGCACTGCATGACCAGTGCAGGTTCAGTGCTGCCTCATGAGTGCAATAATAATGCTTATCTCTCATTGCAAAGCCTAGGAATTTGATCATACTTTTTTTTTTTTTCTTTTATTTTCAGGCCTTTCACCGTTGCTCAAACCTTATGAAGGTAATGGAAGTCAAAAGAACAGGCAACGAATTGGAGGAGAATCTGTTCGGCAGTCACAAAGGGCCAGTGTCAGACAGAGCGAAGGCAATTATCACTATCGAGACATTTCCCTCAGGAAATTTAATAATTTTACGCAGATCATTCTATCTCCATCGACGACCAAAATGAAGAATGCTTTAAACTCACGGGTAAGACACATTACGACACAACTTATTGTCTCTTGCATCGGCAACGATTACCTAGGTAGTATGGTTCAAGCTCAGGCAGAATTATTGTTAGATTTATACGAGACACTAATAAAAATATAGAAAAGATGAGTTAATAAAAAAGTTGTGGGTGTTTTGTTGTAATTAAAAAAAATTAGTTGTGAGATGGTAGCTCAAGTGCATGAACATATGATGATGGTTCAAGAACAGCATAATGAACATATGATGGTAGCTCAAGAGCAACATAGTGAATGTGTGGTGGTTCAAGAGTAACATAATGAATGTGTGATGGTTCAAGAGCAACGTAGTGAGTGTGTGATGGTTCAAGAACAACATAGTGAATGTGTGATGGTTCAAGAATAACATAGTGAATGTGTGATGGTTCAAGAGCAACGTAGTGAGTGTGTGATGGTTAAAGAACAACATAGTGAATGTGTGATGGTTCAAGAGCAACATAGTGAGTGTGTGATGGTTCAAGAACAACATAGTGAATGTGTGATGGTTCAAGAACAACATAGTGAATGTGTGATGGTTTCAAGAAAACCATAGTGAATGTGTGATGGTTCAAGAACAACATAGTGAATGTGTGATGGTTCAAGAACAACATAGTGAATGTGTGATGGTTCAAGAACAACATAGTGAATGTGTGATGGTTCAAGAGCAACATAGTGAATGTGTGATGGTTCAAGAACAACATAGTGAATGTGTGATGGTTCAAGAGTAACATAAGGAATGTGTGATGGTTCAAGAGTAATGTAGTGAATGTGTGATGGTTCAAGAGCAACATAAGGAATGTGTGATGGTTCAAGAGCAACATAAGGAATGTGTGATGGTTCAAGAGTAACATAAGGAATGTGTGATGGTTCAAGAGTAACATAAGGAATGTGTGATGGTTCAAGAGCAACATAAGGAATGTGTGATGGTTCAAGAGTAACATAAGGAATGTGTGATGGTTCAAGAGTAACATAAGGAATGTGTGATGGTTCAAGAGCAACATAAGGAATGTGTGATGGTTCAAGAGCAACATAAGGAATGTGTGATGGTTCAAGAGTAACATAGTGATTGTGTGATGGTTCAAGAGCAACATAGTGATTGTGTGATGGTTCAAGAGCAACATAGTGATTGTGTGATGGTTCAAGAGCAACATAGTGATTGTGTGATGGTTCAAGAGCAACATAGTGATTGTGTGATGGTTTCAAGAGCAACATAGTGATTGTGTGATGGTTCAAGAGCAACATAGTGATTGTGTGATGGTTCAAGAGCAACATAGTGAATGTGTGATGGTTCAAGAACAACATAGTGAATGTGTGATGGTTCAAGAGCAACATAAGGAATGTGTGATGGTTCAAGAGCAACATAAGGAATGTGTGATGGTTCAAGAGCAACATAGTGATTGTGTGATGGTTCAAGAGCAACATAGTGAATGTGTGATGGTTCAAGAACAACATAGTGAATGTGTGATGGTTCAAGAGTAACATAAGGAATGTGTGATGGTTCAAGAGTAATGTAGTGAATGTGTGATGGTTCAAGAGCAACATAAGGAATGTGTGATGGTTCAAGAGTAACATAAGGAATGTGTGATTGTTCAAGAGTAACATAAGGAATGTGTGATGGTTCAAGAGCAACATAAGGAATGTGTGATGGTTCAAGAGCAACATAAGGAATGTGTGATGGTTCAAGAGTAACATAGTGATTGTGTGATGGTTCAAGAGCAACATAGTGATTGTGTGATGGTTCAAGAGCAACATAGTGATTGTGTGATGGTTCAAGAGCAACATAGTGATTGTGTGATGGTTCAAGAGCAACATAGTGATTGTGTGATGGTTCAAGAGCAACATAGTGATTGTGTGATGGTTTCAAGAGCAACATAGTGATTTGTGTGATGGTTCAAGAGCAACATAGTGAATGTGTGATGGTTCAAGAACAACATAGTGAATGTGTGATGGTTCAAGAGCAACATAAGGAATGTGTGATGGTTCAAGAGCAACATAAGGAATGTGTGATGGTTCAAGAGCAACATAGTGATTGTGTGATGGTTCAAGAGCAACATAGTGAATGTGTGATGGTTCAAGAACAACATAGTGAATGTGTGATGGTTCAAGAGCAACATAAGGAATGTGTGATGGTTCAAGAGCAACATAAGGAATGTGTGATGGTTCAAGAGCAACATAGTGATTGTGTGATGGTTCAAGAGCAACATAGTGAATGTGTGATGGTTCAAGAGTAACATAGTGAATGTGTGATGGTTCAAGAACAACATAAGGAATGTGTGATGGTTCAAGAGTAACATAGTGAATGTGTGATGGTTCAAGAGCAACATAAGGAATGTGTGATGGTTCAAGAGTAACATAAGGAATGTGTGATGGTTCAAGAGTAATGTAGTGAATGTGTGATGGTTCAAGAGCAACATAAGGAATGTGTGATGGTTCAAGAGCAACATAAGGAATGTGTGATGGTTCAAGAGTAATGTAGTGAATGTGTTATGGTTCAAGAGTAACATAGTGAATGTGTGATGGTTCAAGAGTAACATAGTGAATGTGTGATGGTTCAAGAGCAACATAAGGAATGTGTGATGGTTCAAGAACAACATAAGGAATGTGTGATGGTTCAAGAGCAACATAAGGAATGTGTGATGGTTCAAGAGCAACATAAGGAATGTGTGATGGTTCAAGAGCAACATAAGGAATGTGTGATGGTTCAAGAGCAACATAAGGAATGTGTGATGGTTCAAGAACAACATAAGGAATGTGTGATGGTTCAAGAGCAACATAGTGAATGTGTGATGGTTCAAGAGCAACATAAGGAATGTGTGATGGTTCAAGAGCAACATAAGGAATGTGTGATGGTTCAAGAGTAACATAAGGAATGTGTGATGGTTCAAGAGTAACATAAGGAATGTGTGATGGTTCAAGAGCAACATAAGGAATGTGTGATGGTTCAAGAGCAACATAAGGAATGTGTGATGGTTCAAGAACAACATAAGGAATGTGTGATGGTTCAAGAGCAACATAAGGAATGTGTGATGGTTCAAGAGCAACATAAGAATGTGTGATGTTCAAGAGCAACATAAGGAATGTGTGATGGTTCAAGAGCAACATAAGGAATGTGTGATGGTTCAAGAGTAACATAAGGAATGTGTGATGGTTCAAGAGTAACATAGTGAATGTGTGATGGTTCAAGAGCAACATAAGGAATGTGTGATGGTTCAAGAGTAACATAGTGAATGTGTGATGGTTCAAGAGTAACATAGTGAATGTGTGATGGTTCAAGAGTAACATAAGGAATGTGTGATGGTTCAAGAGCAACATAAGGAATGTGTGATGGTTCAAGAGCAACATAAGGAATGTGTGATGGTTCAAGAGTAACATAAGGAATGTGTGATGGTTCAAGAGTAACATAGTGAATGTGTGATGGTTCAAGAGCAACATAAGGAATGTGTGATGGTTCAAGAACAACATAAGGAATGTGTGATGGTTCAAGAGCAACATAAGGAATGTGTGATGGTTCAAGAGCAACATAAGGAATGTGTGATGGTTCAAAAGTAACATAGTGAATGTGTGATGGTTCAAGAGCAACATAAGGAATGTGTGATGGTTCAAGAGCAACATAAGGAATGTGTGATGGTTCAAGAGTAACATAGTGATTGTGTGATGGTTCAAGAGCAACATAGTGATTGTGTGATGGTTCAAGAGCAACATAGTGATTGTGTGATGGTTCAAGAGTAACATAAGGAATGTGTGATGGTTCAAGAGTAACATAAGGAATGTGTGATGGTTCAAGAGTAACATAAGGAATGTGTGATGGTTCAAGAGCAACATAAGGAATGTGTGATGGTTCAAGAGCAACATAAGGAATGTGTGATGGTTCAAGAGTAACATAAGGAATGTGTGATGGTTCAAGAGCAACATAAGGAATGTGTGATGGTTCAAGAGTAATGTAGTGAATGTGTTATGGTTCAAGAGTAACATAGTGAATGTGTGATGGTTCAAGAGTAACATAGTGAATGTGTGATGGTTCAAGAGTAACATAAGGAATGTGTGATGGTTCAAGAGCAACATAAGGAATGTGTGATGGTTCAAGAGTAATGTAGTGAATGTGTTATGGTTCAAGAGCAACATAAGGAATGTGTGATGGTTCAAGAGTAATGTAGTGAATGTGTTATGGTTCAAGAGTAACATAGTGAATGTGTGATGGTTCAAGAGCAACATAAGGAATGTGTGATGGTTCAAGAGTAATGTAGTGAATGTGTTATGGTTCAAGAGTAACATAGTGAATGTGTGATGGTTCAAGAGCAACATAAGGAATGTGTGATGGTTCAAGAACAACATAAGGAATGTGTGATGGTTCAAGAGCAACATAAGGAATGTGTGATGGTTCAAGAGCAACATAAGGAATGCGTGATGGTTCAAGAGTAACATAGTGAATGTGTGATGGTTGATGAGCAACATAGTGAATGTGTGATGGTTCAAGAGCAACATAAGGAATGTGTGATGGTTCAAGAGCAACATAAGGAATGTGTGATGGTTCAAGAGTAATGTAGTGAATGTGGTATGGTTCAAGAGTAACATAGTGAATGTGTGATGGTTCAAGAGTAACATAGTGAATGTGTGATGGTTCAAGAGCAACATAAGGAATGTGTGATGGTTCAAGAGTAATGTAGTGAATGTGTTATGGTTCAAGAGTAACATAGTGAATGTGTGATGGTTCAAGAGTAACATAGTGAATGTGTGATGGTTTCAAGAGCAACATAAGGAATGTGTGATGGTTCAAGAGTAATGTAGTGAATGTGTTATGGTTCAAGAGTAACATAGTGAATGTGTGATGGTTCAAGAGCAACATAAGGAATGTGTGATGGTTCAAGAGTAACATAGTGAATGTGTGATGGTTCAAGAGCAACATAAGGAATGTGTGATGGTTCAAGAGTAACATAGTGATTGTGTGATGGTTCAAGAGCAACATAAGGAATGTGTGATGGTTCAAGAGCAACATAAGGAATGTGTGATGGTTCAAGAGCAACATAAGGAATGTGTGATGGTTCAAGAGCAACATAAGGAATGTGTGATGGTTCAAGAGCAACATAGTGATTGTGTGATGGTTCAAGAGCAACATAGTGAATGTGTGATGGTTCAAGAGCAACATAAGGAATGTGTGATGGTTCAAGAGTAACATAAGGAATGTGTGATGGTTCAAGAGTAACATAAGGAATGTGTGATGGTTCAAGAGCAACATAAGGAATGTGTGATGGTTCAAGAGTAACATAAGGAATGTGTGATGGTTCAAGAGTAATGTAGTGAATGTGTTATGGTTCAAGAGTAGTAATAATCTTAAATCCTTAAATTGAAATTTAAGACAACATTTTGGTTTGACTTTGACCATTAACTAATGGTTCAAGTCGGACCAAAACATTGTCATAAGTTTATCTCCTAAGTGCGGGTTATTTGTGTACCATTATCCCTAAATGTCAATTATGTGAAATGCCATTCTTTTCCATCACTCTGCTTTGGCACAGTATCTCATAATGCCATCTCATATAGTGCCCCTTCTGAGTAGATGATAAAATGTTACTGTAACATTCCATGACATTACCATGAACTTGCCAGAGATGCCACCAAGGGCAGGTTTGTGCAGTCTTGTAAGTTTTTGTTAAGCCATAATGATTTAGCATTATTTTCTTTTTTCTCAACGTGCCAGCTGTCTTCCACTGAGGCAGGATGACCCAAAAAAGAAAAACACTTTCATCATCATTCATGCATAATCACTGTCTTTGCAGAAGCATGCAGATGCGACAGTTCAGATGTCACTCCAAACAGCAAATGTCCCAAACCTCATTAACTAATATTCTTTATTTAAACTGAAGATTTTGCATATGCTTTTTATTGATGTGGAAGTTTTTTTTATCTCCAGGTTTTACGAGAACTGTGTGAAGCACTTAACATTCTGAAACGTGACGAGTCTGTTCGGATAGTTTTACTCACTGCTACTGGCTCTACTTTCTGCCAGGGTGTTGATCTCACCGCACTTCAACACCACAACATTGAAACCCGCAAGAAGAATGCTGAAAATCTCGTACGGGGCATAAAGTACGTTTCTTCATCTGTTGGTTTCTCTACTCCATCTTTTCCCATTAATCCGCTACACAACAGATGAAGTGTACTCCAGGTATTTCGTACTCTGTACACGCCTCCACACTCACTTTACTCATCTGCATTATTGTTTTTCCCTCGGTAATCATAAATTTTCTCTGTATTCATAAATTTTGTTAGTGTTACATCCTAATTATTTATTCATTTACTCCCTCTTATTCTGCTTTATTCTTTTCATATCCTTAGTCCACAGTATAGTCTTTATTTTACAGTCAGTTCTCAAAAATTCAGTTACACAACTTTTCTTGTAAATCTAGTTTTATATATAATACATTACATGTTACACCCTGCCTCGGTGGGAGGCGACCGACTTGTTGAAAAAAAAAAAAAAAACATTACATGTCCTTTGTATTAATTAAAATTATTAAATGAAACGTTTAGTAAAGAAATACACAAATTAGCTTTGCTGTTATACAGGTGCCCCCCCCCTTACCCTGGACCCATTACAGTATCTTTAATCTTTGGCTTCCATGCACAAGATGGCTATAGGGTGCATACATACCTCAGTCTAATGAACTATTATACAAGAAAACTAATATATACCAACATGATATACATATATGTATATACATGCATTATCTTCCTTCATAACTTAAATCGTATATATCATATAATCCAAAACAGCTACTGTGAAAAAATAGCAAAATTCCAAGCGCCTTCATGATTTCTCACATTATCAAGGACCTGTGATAATGTGAGAAATCACAAAGGCACCTGGAAGTTTACTGTTTTTTCACAGTGGTGGTTTTGCATATTGTGATATCACCTGTTTACTGTGATATATTTGCATATCATGTAATGTATGCTGAAAAAACTTTTTTCTGGCTGAAGTATTCATATAGTGGTAAAAATTTTCAGAGATTTCCTAAAGGCATTGGTTCAGTTCCCTAAGCCCATTGTTGCTGGTGTCAACGGGAATGCAATGGGCCTGGGTGTTACCATGTTGCCCCTCTTTGATGTGGTCATTGCAAATGACAAGGCAGAATTTTACCTTCCATATGCTAAACTGGGCCAGGTGCCAGAAGGTGGAGCCACATACACTTTCCCCAACTTATTTGGTAAATTGCAGGTGAGTTCCTGAATCATGTTTTATGAATTGTCAAACCTTGATGCCGCTGGAAAGTTCTTGATTCAAGAAATTGGAGCTATCCTTCTTTTGGATCAAAGCTAATTGCCTTCCATTTCCAAGGTGCTTTATTACCTCTACAGATTTAGTGCTTTCCTGTGAAAATAATGATAATGTTCATTTATCCATCAATTTGCATATGTGATGCCTTGCTCCCAGTCCACTTAGATATGCCAGCTTTATGACCATGCAGAAATTACAGTATTCGAGTACATACTGTGTTGTAAATTAAGTGGTATTTATTTTTGGTCAGAACAGATATTACTATATATTGCATAAAGATTTCTATATCTCCTAGGTAGTAGGTTGGTAGACAGCAACCACCCAGGGAGGTACTACCGTCCTGCCAAGTGAGTGTAAAGCGAAAGCCTGTAATTGTTTTATATGATAGTAGGATTGCTGGTGTCTTTTTTCTGTCTCATAAACATGCAAGATTTCAGGTACGTCTTGCTACTTTTTCTTATACTTAGGTCACACTACACATACATGTATAAGCATATATATACACACCCCTCTGGGTTTTCTTCTATTTTCTTTCTAGTTCTTGTTTATTTCCTCGTATCTCCATGGGGAAGTGGAACAGAATTCTTCCTTCGTAAGCCATGCGTGTTGTAAGAGGCGACTAAAATGCCGGGAGCAAGGGGCTAGTAACCCCTTCTCCTGTACAAATTATTAAATTTAAAAAGAAAAACCTTCGTTTTTCTTTTTGGGCCACCCTGCCTTGGTGGGATATGGCCGGTTTGTTGAAAAAAAAAATTCTGTATCTGGGTAAGTAAATATGAATGTAGCATGTTCTGTTGTACTTTCTCAGAATGTATTCTTGACTGGCAAGTGTTGAATTTACAAATGTGAAAACAAAATAAATTCTTTTAAATGAATTTTCCTGCTGATGCCAGGGTTATGTTCTTCGAAAACTTTTATGTTGGTTATGATTTTTTGTGTTTTTACCACTATCTATCTTTTTCTCTTCCTGCCCATTTCTGTTCCTCCACTATCCCTTAACAGACCTTATCACCTAGTGCTTTCCAATATTCACTGATAACCCTACATCAGTGTAAAACGAAAGCCTGTACTTGTTTTACATGATGGTAGGATTACTGGTGTCTTTTTATGTCTCATAAACATGCAAGATTTCAGGTACATCTTGCTACTTCTACTTACACTTAGGTCACACTACACATGCATGTACGAGCATATATATACACACCCCTCTGGGTTTTCTTTTATTTTCTTGCTAGTTTTTGTTTATTTCCTCTTGTCTCCACAGGGAAATGGAACAGAAATCTTCCTCCGTAAGCCATGCATGTCATAAGAGGCAATTAAAATGCCGGGAGCAAGGGGCTAGTAACCCCTTCTCCTGTATACCTGGAGTTTACCTGGAGAGAGTTCCGGGGGTCAACGCCCCCGCGGCCCGGTCTGTGACCAGGCCTCCTGGTGGATCAGAGCCTAATCAACCAGGCTGTTGCTGCTGGCTGCACGCAAACCAACGTACGAGCCACAGCCCGGCTGGTCAGGAACCGACTTTAGGTGCTTGTCCAGTGCCAGCTTGAAGACTGCCAGGGGTCTGTTGGTAATCCCCCTTATGTATGCTGGGAGGCAGTTGAACAGTCTCGGGCCCCTGACACTTATTGTATGGTCTCTTAACGTGCTAGTGACCCCTGCTTTTCATTGGGGGGATGTTGCATCGTCTGCCAAGTCTTCTGCTTTTGTCGTGAGTGATTTTCGTGTGCAAGTTCGGTACTAGTCCCTCTAGGATTTTCCAGGTGTATATAATCATGTATCTCTCCCGCCTGCGTTCCAGGGAATACAGTTTTAGGAACCTCAAGCGCTCCCAGTAATTGAGGTGTTTTATCTCCGTTATGCGCGCCGTGAAGGTTCTCTCTACATTTTCTAGGTCAGCAATTTCACCTGCCTTGAAAGGTGCTGTTAGTGTGCAGCAATATTCCAGCCTAGATAGAACAAGTGACCTGAAGAGTGTCATCATGGGCTTGGCCTCCCTAGTTTTGAAGGTTCTCATTATCCATCCTGTCATTTTTCTAGCAGATGCGATTGATGCAATGTTATGGTCCTTGAAGGTGAGATCCTCCGACATGATCACTCCCAGGTCTTTGACGTTGGTGTTTCGCTCTATTTTGTGGCCAGAATTTGTTTTGTATTCTGATGAAGATTTAATGTCCTCGTGTATACCATATCTGAGTAATTGAAATTTCTCATCGTTGAACTTCATATTGTTTTCTGCAGCCCACTGAAAGATTCGGTTGATGTCCGCCTGGAGCCTTGCAGTGTCTGCAATGGAAGACACTGTCATGCAGATTCGGGTGTCATCTGCAAAGGAAGACACTGTGCTGTGGCTGACATCCTTGTCTATGTCGGATATGAGGATGAGGAACAAGATGGGAGCGAGTACTGTGCCTTGTGGAACAGAGCTTTTCACCGTAGCTGCCTCGGACTTTACTCTGTTGACTACTACTCTCTGTGTTCTGTTAGTGGGGAAATTATAGATCCATCGACTGACTTTTCCTGTTATTCCTTTAGCACGCATTTTGTGCGCTATTACGCCATGGTTACACTTGTCGAAGGCTTTTGCAAAGTCTGTATATATTACATCTGCATTCTTTTTATCTTCTAGTGCATTTAGGACCTTGTCGTAGTGATCCAATAGTTGAGACAGACAGGAGCGACCTGTTCTAAACCCATGTTGCCCTGGGTTGTGTAACTGATGGGTTTCTAGATGGGTGGTGATCTTGCTTCTTAGGACCCTTTCAAAGATTTTTATGATATGGGATGTTAGTGCTATCGGTCTGTAGTTCTTTGCTGTTGCTTTACTGCCCCCTTTGTGGAGTGGGGCTGTCTGTTGTTTTTAGTAACTGTGGGACGACCCCCGTGTCCATGCTCCCTCTCCGTAGGATGGAAAAGGCTCGTGATAGGGACTTCTTGCAGTTCTTGATGAACACGGAGTTCCATGAGCCTGGCCCTGGGGCAGAGTGCATGGGCATGTCATTTATCGCCTGTTCGAAGTCATTTGGTGTCAGGATAACATCGGATAGGCTTGTGTTAACCAAATTTTGTGGCTCTCTCATAAAAAATTCATTTTGATCTTCGACTCTCAGTCTGGTTAGCGGCTTGCTAAAAACTGAGTCATATTGGGACTTGAGTAGCTCACTCATTTCCTTGCTGTCATCTGTGTAGGACCCATCTTGTTTAAGTAGGGGCCCAATACTGGACGTTGTTCTCGACTTTGATTTGGCATAGGAGAAGAAATACTTTGGGTTTCTTTCGATTTCATTTATGGCTTTTAGTTCTTCCCGCGATTCCTGACTCCTATAAGATTACTAAATTACTAAAACTAAGAGAAACTTTTGTTTTTCTTTTTGGGCTTCTCTAACACTTTCACTTTTGAAGGTTGCCAGTTTACCATGTTAGTTTCTCATTACTTCAGTTATTTAATCTGTTGAGAATAATTTTTTCTAGAGTTATTCCTACATCCCTCTGTTAGTCTGCTACTTTCAGTTATTATACAGGGTGTTGAGAAGGAAATGCAACTCATGGAGAATACATACATTAATGATATTATTTTTCTCTGTGTCATAAATTCTTTAGTACGTGAATGGTGCTCACATACAGGATGTTTCATGGATTTTTTTATGAACATTGCATTCAAATTACCCTCATATACTAAAAGAGCTGCAGGTCATCATTCAGCATGTCAAGAGAAACATTAAAGCAAGGGTTCAGTAATATTTGTTGTGTACTCTAATGAGGAAAACCATAATGGCCAACACATTCAATAATTTTTGTTGTTCTTTCTTCTTTCTTTCAACACACCAGCCGTATCCCACCGAGGCAGGGTGGCCCAAAAGGAAAAACAAAAGCTTCTCCTTTTAAATTTAGTAATATATACAGGAGAAGGGGTTACTAGACCCTTGCTCCTGGCATTTTAGTCGCCTCTTACAACACGCATGGCTTACGGAGGAAGAATTCTGTTCCACTTCCCCATGGAGAATTTTTGTTGTTGTTTACTAATAAACATTCATTCTGCATGCATTATATCTCATTGTGAACACCATGTAATTATGTGGAGCTTGAAACTCGTGTGGATCATTCACTATCAAGAGTTGTGGAGGATCAGTTCTCAGTTCACTCTCTTAATCTTTTTCTTTGTGCAGCCTGTTATAACTCTCCCAGTTCCATTACCTTCATTAAACTCCCTGATACATCTCACATTCCAACAATGGGAATGTGAATGCTCTGGCAGAGTACAGGATGGCTGATGGATCACTTCATTTCCTCACCCAAGTATTCTTGTAGGGATTTATAGTAATTTTTATTCATATAAAATTTTGGCATCATTGGCAAACATTTTTCATATAGTTTTATGCAACTTGGACAGAAAGTAACAAATGGTAAATCAAAGACACAGTGAGTTGACCTTATATGTAGCAACACTTTGCTCAGTGGAATTTTGTTGGGTACAGTATTATTTTACAAACGTCTAAGGACATTTACCACATTTGTCATGGAAATTAATTACAATACTGTACCTATTTATAATTACCTATAAAAATTTGCTGGGGGTTAGCTCTAGCTCTTGGTCCTAACTTGTAACTTGACCAGCTGACTTGAGTTAGCCATGGCATATCTGTTTTGGAACCCCTGCATGGAGTCCACTTTCAAAAAAAATCTTGTGAATTAACACTCCAGTGTGCTGATAAAGTATTCAGTAAATATAAGCATTAGTGCCTTTACCCTGACCTAATGATTTTTGAACACTAAAAGGGTATGTAGACTGTGGAAAAATTTATCTAACGTTCTAGAATTTTTTTTTTTTTTTTTATACAAGTTGGCCGTCTCCCACCGAGGCAGGGTGACCCAAAAAGAAAGAAAATCCCCCAAAAGAAAATACTTTCATCATCATTCAACTCTTTCACCTCACTTACACATAATCACTGTTTTTGCAGAGGTGCTCAGAACACAACAGCTTAGAAGCATATACGTATGAAGATACACAACATATCCCTCCAAACTGTCAATATCCCGAAACCCCTCCTTTAGAGTGCAGGCATTGTACTTCCCATTTCCAGGACTCAAGTCCAGCTATATAAAAATAACTGGTTTTCCTGAATCCCTTCACTAAATGTTACCCTGCTCACACTCCAACAGACCGTCAGGTCCCAAATACCATTCGTCTCAATTCACTCCTATCGAACACGCTCACGCATGCCTGCTGGAAGTCCAAGCCCCTCGCCCACAAAACCTCCCTTACCCCTTCCTTCCAACCTTTTCAAGGACTACCCTTACCCCACCTTCCTTCCCCTACAGATTTAAATGCTCTCCATGTCATTCTACTTTGATCCATTCTCTCTAAATGACCAAACCACCTCAACAACCCCTCTTCAGCCCTCTGACTAATGCTTTTATTAACTCCACACCTAATTTTCACACTCTGAATTTTCTGCATAATATTTACACCACACATTGCACTTAGACAGGACATCTCCACTGCCTCCAACTGCCTCCTCGCTGCTGCATTCACAACCCAAGCTTCACACCCATATAAGAGTGTTGGTACTTTCATACATTCCCTTCTTTGCCTCCATAGATAATGTTTTTTGTCTCCACATATACCTCAACGCACCACTCGCCTTTTTTCCCTCTTCAATTCTATGATTAACCTCATCCTTCATAAATTCATCTGCCGACAGGTCAACTCCCAAGTATCTGAAAACATTCACTTCTTCTATACTCCTCCTCCCCAATTTGATATCCAATTTTTCTTTATCTAAATCATTTGCTACCCTCATCACCTTATTCTTTTCTATGTTCACTTTCAACTTTCTACCTTTACACACACTCCTAAACTCGTCCACTAACCTTTGCAATTTTTCTTTAGAATCTCCCATAAGCACAGTATCATCAGCAAAAAGCAACTGTCAATTCCCATTTTGTATTTGATTCCCCAAAATTTAATCCCACCTCTCTCCTGAACACCCTAGCATTTACTTCTTTTACAACCCCATCTATAAATATATTAAACAACCATGGTGACATTACACATCTCTGTCTAAGACCTACTACACACCCTAACCTGAGCCTCACTATCCTCATAAAAAGTCTACAGCATTTAGTAACTTACCACCTATTCCATATACTTGCAACATCTGCCACATTGCTCCCCTATCCACTCTGTCATATGCCTTTTCTAAATCCATAAATGCAATAAAAACTTCCCTACCTTTATCTAAATACTGTTCACATATATGTGTCAATGTAAACACTTGATCTACACATCCCCTACCTACTCTAAAACCTCCTTGCTCATCTGCAATCCTACATTCTGTCTTACCTCTAATTCTTTCAATTATAACCCTACCATACACTTTTCCTGGTATACTCAGTAAACTTATTCCTCTATAATTTTTACAGTCTCTTTTGTCCCCCTTCCCTTTATATAAAGGGACTATACATGCTCTCCGCCAGTCTCTAGGTACCTTCCCCTCTTTCATACATTTATTAAACAAAAGTACCAACCACTCCAACACTATATCCTCCCCTGCTTTTAACATTTCTGTCATGATCCCATCAGTTCCAGCTGCTTTACCCACTTTCATTCTACGTAATGCCTCACGCACCTCCCCCACACTCACATCCTGTTTTCTTCATTCCTAAAAGATGGTATACCTCCCTGTCCAGTTTTTAATACATTCAAGGTAGGATATTTTCCCTAAATCTGAATAGTAAATTACAAAATTACAGGAATCATAAACATTTGTACCTGTATTATAAAATTTCTAAATATTTTTCTTATTTACTGTTAGCCATATGATGAAAATATTTTCATTATCATTCAACACTTTCACCTCACTCATACATAATCACTGTTTTTTTGCAGAGGTAAACTGTTGTATCTGGGCACCTTTGCAAAAACAGTGATTATGTATGAGTGAGGTGAAAGTGTTGAATGATGAAAGCATTTTCGTTTTGGGGATTTTCTTTCATTTTGGGGCACCCTGCCTAGGTGGGAGACAGCCGACTTGTTGAAAAATAAAATGAGTTGTGTGTTAAGCTTCATTCCAAATGTACTCGGATTATGATTGAAAAATGCCCCAAAATATAAATATCCGAACCATGTCTTACTTCAGAACATATACAGTGGACCCCCGCTTAACGATCACCTCCAAATGCGACCAATTATGTAAGTGTATTTATGTAAGTGCGTTTGTACGTATATGTTTGGGGGTCTGAAATGGACTAATCTACTTCACAATATTCCTTATGGGAAAAAATTCGGTCAGTACTGGCACCTGAACATATTACTGGAATGAAAAAAGTTCGTTAACCGGGGGTCCACTATATTTATATATTTTTTTATTTAAGATGAGGAAAAAGTGCTGATATACTGAGGAAATTTCATTAAAATGGTCAGTGACTTTAGAAAAAATTGGTAAATGCCTCTGAACATGAATTGTATGTTGGGAGATATGATGATGTGAGGAAGTAGCATACATCTCTCGAATGCCTGTTAGTGATGAATTTAATATCTAGTTGATTGCTTGATTTGTTTCATTATTTCATTGATTTTTTTTTTTTCAGTCTACAAAGCTGTTCTTAGGCCACAAATTAACGGCGTCCAAGGCGCAGGAAATTGGTTTGGTTTCCGAGTCGATCTGGCCGGCTACTTATCAACAGGAGCTCATACCTAAGGTTGCACTACTTGCGACACAGTCAGCACAGGTATGTTGTAAGTGGAATAATTTTCTCTCTCTTTTTTTCTTTTCTATATTTTTCTAGTGTTTTGTCATGTAAGAACTTAAAATGAACCTCTCCTAAGGCACTGAATGACCCTTATAGGTTTAGTGTCCCCCATCCCCCAATATGAAAGCAATCAATCGATAAATCGCCTCCTGCAATCCCGTTTTAGACCAGGTCTGGTTGATGACTTGATCTGTCACACTATGGCACTAGCAGCTCTGTATTTGGACTTATCTGATTTATATGAAATAATCCCAGAAACCTATTTTAGGGTTGTTAGTTTACTATTATTATATTCTTGGGTTTGTGTTGAATCCTTAGGTGTCATACAGGGCCTGGGAAATGGGAGGCAGTTAGGATTGATTCAGCAAATGGGAGAGGGTAGCACCAACATCCTGGATCATGAACTGTTCATTAGCCTCAAACCATTTTCCCTTGATAAGTGTTAAGATGCTTGGCCAGGAATCATGTACAGAATTTTAAATGTCCATTTTTTTACTACAGTATAAGAAAGTTGCGAAAATTTTTATATGATATTATATTGAACTTTTGAAGATTTATAGTATATATGAACATGAAAAATAATTTTGTGTTAACAGTGCCTAAGCAAACACAGAAAACAATACTGTATTGATAGTTTTCTAATCTGGTGATTGATCACAAATATAAGAAGGATAGATGGGCTAGTGAGAGTATAGGCAGTGGGGTTGAAGATGTATGTGGTAGATTTCAGAATGTAATGTTAGAGTATTCAACAGAAGTTTGTGGTTACAGGAAAGAGGGTGTGGGAGGGAAGAAGAGCAGTTGGTAGAATGATGATGTAAAGAGAGTAGTAAGAGAAAAAAGTTAGCATATGAGCGGTTGTTATAAAGTATAAATGATGCAAGGAGGGAGGAGTATATGGAGTGGAAAAGAGAGGTTAAGAGAGTGGTAAAGCAATGGAAAGAGAGAGCAAATGTGAGAGTGGGTGAGATGTTATCAACAAATTTTGTTGAAAATAAGAAAAAGTTTTGGAGTGAGATTAATAAGTTGAGGAAGCCTAGGGAACAGATAGATTTGATTGTTAAAAATAGAAGAGGAGCATTATTAAATGGAGAGTTAGATGTATCAAGAAGATGGAGGGAATATTTTGAGGAATTGCTAAATGTTGATGAAGAGAGGAAAGCTGTGATTTCGTGTATCGAGCAAGGAGGAATAACATCTTGTAGGAGTGGGGAGGAGGGTGTTGTGAGTGTGGGGAAAGTTCGTGAGGCAGTGGGTAGAATGAAAGGGGGTAAAGCAGCTGGGATTGATGTGATGAAGATAGAAATGTTAAAAGCGGGTGGGATATAGTTTTGGAGTGGTTGGTATTTTTATTTAATAAATGTATGGAAGAGGGTAAGGTACCTAGGGATTGGCAGAGAGCATGCATAGTTCTTTTGTATAAAGGCAAAGGGGACAAAAGAGACTGCAAAAATTATAGGGGAATAAGTCTGTTGAGTATACCTGGTAAAGTGTATGGCAGAGTTATTATTGAAAGAATTAAGAGTACGACAGAGAACAGGATAGCAAATGAACAAGGAGGCTTTAGGAAGGGTAGAGGGAGTGTAGACCAAGTGTTTACAGTGAAACATGTAAGTGAACAGTATTTAGATAAGGGTAAAGAGGGGTTTGTGGCATTTATGGATTTGGAAAAGACGTGTGACAGGGTGGATATGGGGGCAATGTGGCAGATGTTGCAGATGTATGGAATAGATGGTAGGTTATTGAAATCAGGGAAAAGTTTTTATGTCATCATGGTTATTCAATATATTTATAGATGAGGTTGTAAGAAAAGTGAATGCTCAGGTGTTGGCAAGAGGTGTGGGGTTAAAAGATAAGGAATCTAACACAAAGTGGGAGTTTTAACAGTTGATCTTTGCTGATGACACTGTGCTTTTGGAAGATTCTGAAGAAAAGTTGCAGAGGTTGTTGGATGAGTTGGGTAGGGTATGTAAAAGAAAATTGAATGTGAATATAGGAAAGAGTAAGTTGATGAAGATAACAAAAAAATTAGATAATGAAAGATTAGATATCAGGTTGGAGGGAGAGAGTATGGAGGAGGTGACTGTATTCAGATATTTAGGAGTGGACGTGTCAGCAGATGGGTCTATGAAAGACGAGGTGAATCGTAGAATTGATGAGGGGAAAAAGGCAAGTGGTGCATTGAGGAGTCTGGAGACAAAAAACTCTGTCCATGGAAGCAGAGAGAGGAATATATGAGAGTATAGTTATACCACTGCTCTTATATGAGTGTGAAGCATAGGTGGTGAATATTGCAACATGGAGAAGGCTGGAGGCAGTGGAGATGTCGTGTCCGAGATCAATGTGTGGTGTGAACATAATGCAGAGAATTCGTAGTTTGGAAAGTAGGAGGAGGTGTGGGATTATCCAGAGGGCTGAGGAGGGGTTGTTAAGGTGGTTCGGACATGTAGAGAGGATGGAACAAAATAGAATGACTTCGAGAGTGTATAAATCTGTAGTGAAGGGAAGGTGGGGGTAGAGGTTGGCCTAGGAAAGATTGGAGGGAGGGGGTAAAGGAGGTTTTGTGTGCGAGGGGCTTGGACTTCCAGCAGGCATGCGTGAACATGTTAGATAGGAGCGAATGGAGACAAATGATTTTTAAGACTTGACGTGCTGTTGGAGTGTGAGCAGGGTAATACAGTGGACCCCCGGTTAACGATATTTTTTCATTCCAGAAGTATGTTCAGGTGCCAGTACTGACTGAATTTGTTCCCATAAGGAATATTGTGAAGTAGATTAGTCCATTTCACACCCCCAAACATACACGTACAAATGCACTTACATAAATACACTTACATAATTGGTCGCATTGGGAGGTGATCGTTAAGTGGGGGTCCACTGTATTTATGAAAGGGATTCGGGGAAACCAGCAAGCTGGACTTGAGTCCTGGAGATGGGAAGTACAGTGCCTGCACTCTGAAGGAGGAGTGTTAATGTTGCAGTATTATAACTGTAGTGTAAGTGTGCCTCTTGCAAAACAGTGATGGAGTGAATGATGGTTTTTCTGCAGAATTTGAGGCTTTTAGGTCTCCAGCTTAAGAATCCTCAAGGGTGCCTCGGTCACCCTTGAGGTTTCTTCAGCAGTCACTGATTACCTGTAGATTCATTAAGACACATCACCATCAGTGTTTTGTATTTTAATTAAATGTTTCATATTTAATATTTGTTCAGGTCACAGAGATTAATTTTTCAGCTGTAATCATGATTAGAATCAATATATGAGAATCCATAATAGCTACCTGTTGAATAATCAGTCTAGACACCCCTAAGAGGTTCAATATTAGCTAAGAACAATCATGCCCTGTAAGATTCCAGGTTTATCTAACAACTGGACTACATGTACAGTACTTTATTAGCTTAGGAGGATGTTCAGTTCCTGCTGTAGTTTTAGTGGTACTGTAAAGTAATACTGTGCATTGATTTTGCATAGAGAAGTGACTAGTGATGATCAGTTAGATGTGCATTTTCCAGAATAGGCTTGACCGTGGAAGTGCAGCTGTGTTGTAATGTGAGTTAGTTGTGGTCCTTTAAATATGCACAAATGGTGTTGAGGGCACGAACAGGTGTAGTAACTCTCAAGAGTGTCAGCACGGATGTGCCCACACTCCTCCCCTGTCTTGCACTTGGGCAGCTGGAAGAGTTAACTGTGTTTTAATTTGAAGTTTATGTTGTCAGTACAGTTGTAATTTACCTTAAGGCATCTTTTATGTCTTACCCTTATATCTATATATTAATTTCTCATTACCTTTTCATAAAACTTGTTGGGATGAGATGACATAAATAACTGACCTGGTTACAAGTGTAGAGGTAGATTGTCTCTGTAGGGGAGGGTGCCTCAGTCTTTGTCATTATCCATGAATTTGGCCAGGGACATCGGCACATGATGTTTGTATGTACGTCTGCACCCTCCTTTATAGCACTGCCAGGGAAAGGTTGGTTTTCTCTTTCGACTCGACGTAGCTTGAGGGCCACCTCATCTCCTTGACATTCGCTCATTTCCTCCATTATTCGTCCACAAAACTAAAAAAGTTGGAGTGCTTTCGTCATGTTAATGGGAGTGAATAATAATACTATATTATTTAACCATTCATAAGTGGTTCCTGCTTATTTTGAACTTATTTTTTACAATATTTTCTGAGTTCATTGTTGATTTGTATCTCTTTGGGAACACTTCAGTTCAAGTTTACATTAATTGACTTCATGGTAACATGGTGTGTTTGAGGAGTAGAATGGATTGGAAGGAAAGACTTGACACTTACGAAATTGTTATCATCCCTGTAGCCCAATTTTAGATCAGGCCTTTATAATTGGGAAGGAAATATTGCAGGAATAACTACTATTAACCCTTTCAGGGTTGAGAGAGACTGTCCTAAACTTGTTCTCAGGGTTGAAAATTTTTTGGAAAGAAAAAAAAGATTTTTTCTTATGAAAAGATAGAGAATCTTTTCCCGATCATAATGACACCAAAAGTATGAAATTTGATGGAAAATTTACAGAATTATGCTCTCGTGAAGTGAGCGGTCTCGACGATGTTTACGCATCAGCGATTTCGCTGACTTTGAGCCCTATTTTCAGCCAATTCCATTGTACTAGTCGACAAAAATTATAACTATTTCACTAGAACTCCATTTTTTCTATCGAATGAGTACAAGAAACCACCCATTTACCGATTTCAATTATCCAATAAAGTGGTCAGAAATTAGCAGTTTTACCAATTTCACAAATTTCAAAAGATGCCAATTTCCAAATAGGGTCCAGAATAAACAAGACAGACATTCCTGGCACTAAAATAACATTTCCTATGTTCATTAGTCAAGTCCCCAGGCCACTCTTACATTTCTTTTCCTTTCCATTTTGAATTTTTACTCTCTCAAAAAATAGAAGATTTACTGTTATGCAGACTACTGTGTCAGTGTAGAAATGGTATAAATAATATCAGCGCACTTGTGAAAGAATATTAGACTCACCATTTTATGTGTATTGGACATGTGGCTTGATTTGTTTACTTTTGAACTTTGGCAGAAATCGAACATTTCTGCTACTTTGAGCTCAATTTCAAGGTACTACTTTTCATTGTGAAACCAATCAAAATCATCTTAATTTCTGTAATATGTCTTCCATTCTATAAAATGAGACCAGGAAAATTAGAATACAATCATAAATACCATACGAAAATACAGTGCAAAATCGCTGTTTTAAACCAAAAACACGGTCAAAGTTTTTTTTTTCCTCATTACGCACTGTGCTGCAGGATTTTTTTTATACTGTGCACACTGACTACATACACCCATTTTTTCTATATATGTAGGCCTACCAGCTTTCTCTCGCTAGATTCGAAGGCGCTAGAATTCAGGCATACTAGTACGTCAATAACCCTGGTGCGTAAGCCGTACTAGTACGTCGGAAACCCTGAAAGGGTTAAGAAACATAGGAAAATAAAGATAAATATGTACTGACTGTAAGGAGTTGACAAGATTCACAAGTCTTCTTGCACATTTATTAAACAGAAAGGGGAAAAACAGCAGAAAAGACCAGCAATCCTGGCAGAGTGCAAAACATTTTGCAGAAAAATACCATGTGTTATTGAGCCATATTAACCCTTTCAGGGTCCGTCCCGTAGATCTACGGCTTTACGTTCAGGGTCCAAACCGTAGATCTACGCCATGAGCTCAGCTCACTCTGATAAACTGTGAGTGGTACATTTGGGCCTAGATATGAGAGAATACATCTATGTGGTATGTGTGCACCACATAAAACAGATCCTGCAGCACACTGTGTACAATGAGAGAAAAAAAATGAAATCATGATTTTTCGATTAAAACAGCAACTTTGCAGTGTTTTTTCGTATGTTTTTTATAGTTGTATTTGCGATTTCTTGGTCTCATTTGATAGAATGGAAGACATATTACAGAAATAGAGATGATTTTGATTGGTTTTAGCACTGGAAATGGCTTGAAACTGAGCTCAAAGTAGCAGAAATGTTAAATTTTTGCCGATATTCAAGAGTAAACAAACGACCTCACACGTCTAATACACACCAGCTGGTGGGTCTAATATACATTCACAAATATGGTGATGATATTTATACAATTATTACAGTATTGCATAACAGTAAATCTTCTATTTTTTGGTGTGAATAAAAATTCATTATGTGAATAAAAAATCGAAATGGAATTTATTTGTAAAGCCTCAAAACATAACTAATGAACAGAGGAAATGTTAGTTTAGTGCCAGGAATGCCTACATTGTTCATTCTGGACCCTATTTTGAAATTGGAATATTTTGAACTTTGTGTTAAATTGGCCAAATTAACAATTTCCGATCACTTTATTTTGTAGTTGAAACAGTTGACTTGGCGATTTCTTGTGCTCAATCGATAGAATAGAAGTAATACTAGTGAAATAGCTAAGAATTTGGTTGATTGGAATAATGTAATTGGCCTAAAATGGGAGTCAAAGTCGGCAAAATCGCCGATTCGTAAATATCGCTGACACATCAAAATTCGCGAGAGCATAATTTCGTCAATTTTCCACCAAATTTCGTACTTTTTGTTTTATTACCTTCAGAAAAAGATTCTCTACGATTTCATAAGAAAAAATAACAAATTTTTTTTTTGAAAATTCTTGGACACTGGTGCGTGACTCCAGATTTGGGCCTTGGACCCTGAAAGGGTTAAAGAGACTAAATAGGCTCCAAAACAAATTGTACAGATGAAGTATTTAAATAGGTGACTTTAAAAATAAGCTATACTAAATTATATATATGCTGGGCTGGATTGTGTTTCTGGAAAGCTAATAAAAATAAAACTATTGTAGAATCTATCTGTCTTATCTTATCCTCATTAATCTAAAATATTCAAAGGTAGATGTCAGATTTGTTATTCTATGAATGTTATGAATTTGTTATGAATGAAAAGAAGTTGGATGTCCTGGCCCTAAGCAAAACAAAGCTGAAGGGGGTAGGGGAGTTTCGGTGGGGGGAAATAAATGGGATTAAATCTGGAGTATCTGAGAGAGTTGGAGCAAAGGAAGGGGTAGCAGTAATGTTGAATGATCAGTTATGGAAGGAGAAAAGAGAATATGAATGTGTAAATGCAAGAATTATGTGGATTAAAGTAAAGGTTGGATGCGAGAAGTGGGTCATAATAAGCGTGTATGCACCTGGAGAAGAGAGGAATGCAGAGGAGAGAGAGAGATTTTGGGAGATGTTAAGTGAATGTATAGGAGCCTTTGAACCAAGTGAGAGTAATTGTGGTAGGGGACCTGAATGCTAAAGTAGGAGAAACTTTTAGAGAGGTTGTGGTAGGTAAGTTTGGGGTGCCAGGTGTAAATGATAATGGGAGCCCTTTGATTGAACTTTATATAGAAAGGGGTTTAGTTATAGGTAATACATATTTTAAGAAAAAGAGGATAAATAAGTATACAAGATATGATGTAGGGCGAAATGACAGTAGTTTGTTGGATTATGTATTGGTAGATAAAAGACTGTTGAGTAGACTTCAGGATGTACATGTTTATAGAGGGGCCACAGATATATCAGATCACTTTCTAGTTGTAGCTACACTGAGAGTAAAAGGTAGATGGGATACAAGGAGAATAGAAGCATCAGGGAAGAGAGAGGTGAAGGTTTATAAACTAAAAGAGGAGGCAGTTAGGGAAAGATATAAACAGCTATTGGAGGATAGATGGGCTAATGAGAGCATAGGCAATGGGGTCGAAGAGGTATGGGGTAGGTTTAAAAATGTAGTGTTAGAGTGTTCAGCAGAAGTTTGTGGTTACAGGAAAGTGGGTGCGGGAGGGAAGAGGAGCGATTGGTGGAATGATGATGTAAAGAGAGTAGTAAAGGGAGAAAAAGTTAGCATATGAGAAGTTTTTACAAAGTAGAAGTGATGCAAGGAGGGAAGAGTATATGGAGAAAAAGAGAGAGGTTAAGAGAGTGGTGAAGCAATGTAAAAAGAGAGCAAATGAGAGAGTGGGTGAGATGTTATCAACAAATTTTGTTGAAAATAAAAAAGTTTTGGAGTGAGATTAACAAGTTAAGGAAGCCTAGAGAACAAATGGATTTGTCAGTTAAAAATAGGAGAGGAGAGTTATTAAATGGAGAGTTAGAGGTATTGGGAAGATGGAGGGAATATTTTGAGGAATTGTTAAATGTTGATGAAGATAGGGAAGCTGTGATTTCGTGTATAGGGCAAGGAGGAATAACATCTTGTGGGAGTGAGGAAGAGCCAGTTGTGAGTGTGGGGGAAGTTCGTGAGGCAGTAGGTAAAATGAAAGGGGGTAAGGCAGCCGGGATTGATGGGATAAAGATAGAAATGTTAAAAGCAGGTGGGGATATAGTTTTGGAGTGGTTGGTGCAATTATTTAATAAATGTATGGAAGAGGGTAAGGTACCTAGGGATTGGCAGATAGCATGCATAGTTCCTTTGTATAAAGGCAAAGGGGACAAAAGAGAGTGCAAAAATTATAGGGGGATAAGTCTGTTGAGTATACCTGGTAAAGTGTATGGCAGAGTTATTATTGAAAGAATTAAAAGTAAGACTGAGAATAGGATAGCAGATGAACAAGGAGGCTTTAGGAAAGGTAGGGGGTGTGTGGACCAGGTGTTTACAGTGAAACATATAAGTGAACAGTATTTAGATAAGGCTAAAGAGGTCTTTGTGGCATTTATGGATTTGGAAAAGGCGTATGACAGGGTGGATAGGGGGGCAATGTGGCAGATGTTGCAGGTGTATGGTGTAGGAGGTAGGTTACTGAAAGCAGTGAAGAGTTTTTACGAGGATAGTGAGGCTCAAGTTAGAGTACATAGGAAAGAGGGAAATTATTTCCCAGTAAAAGTAGGCCTTAGACAAGGATGTGTGATGTCACCGTGGTTGTTTAATATATTTATAGATGGGGTTGTAAGAGAAGTAAATGCGAGGGTCTTGACAAGAGGCGTGGAGTTAAAAGATAAAGAATCACACATGAAGTGGGAGTTGTCACAGTTGCTCTTTGCTGATGACACTGTGCTCTTGGGAGATTCTGAAGAGAAGTTGCAGAGATTGGTGGATGAATTTGGTAGGGTGTGCAAAAGAAGAAAATTAAAAGTGAATACAGGAAAGAGTAAGGTTATGAGGATAACAAAAATATTAGGTGATGAAAGATTGGATATCAGATTGGAGGGAGAGAGTATGGAGGAAGTGAATGTATTCAGATATTTGGGAGTGGACGTGTCAGCGGATGGGTCTATGAAGGATGAGGTGAATCATAGAATTGATGAGGGGAAAAGGGTGAGTGGTGCACTTAGGAGTCTGTGGAGACAAAGAACTTTGTCCTTGGAGGCAAAGAGGGGAATGTATGAGAGTATAGTTTTACCAACACTCTTATATGGGTGTGAAGCATGGGTGATGACTGTTGCAGCGAGGAGAAGGCTGGAGGCAGTGGAGATGTCATGTCTGAGGGCAATGTGTGGTGTGAATATAATGCAGAGAATTCATAGTTTGAAGTTAGGAGGAGGGGCGGGATTACCAAAACTGTTGTCCAGAGGGCTGAGGAAGGGTTGTTGAGGTGGTTCGGACATGTAAAGGGAATGGAGCGAAACAGAATGACTTCAAGAGTGTATCAGTCTGTAGTGGAAGGAAGGCGGGATAGGGGTCGGCCTAGGAAAGGTTGGAGGGAGGGGGTAAAGGAGGTTTTGTGTACGAGGGGCTTGGACTTCCAGCAGGCGTGCGTGAGCGTGTTTGATAGGAGTGAATGGAGACGAATGGTTTTTAATACTTGACGTGCTGTTGGAGTGTGAGCAAAGTAACATTTATGAAGGGGTTCAGGGAAACCGGCAGGCCGGACTTGAGTCCTGGAGATGGGAAGTACAGTGCCTGCACTCTGAAGGAGGGGTGTTAATGCTGCAGTTTAAAAACTGTAGTGTAAAGCACCCTTCTAGCAAGACAGTGATGGAGTGAATGATGGTGAAAGTTTTTCTTTTTCGGGCCACCCTGCCTTGGTGGGAATCGGCCAGTGTGATAATAAAAATAAAAATAAAATAATGTCAGATTTGTTGAAATTTTAAGCTAGGGTGGAAATATACCCTCTAATATTCCATAGTAGAAATCATTTACTGATTTTTTTTTTGACAGGTGATTATTTACCCTTTTCTAAGGCATTTTTAGTCATGAGGTATTTTTGACAGATTTTAAATTTTTTTGAGATACAGTACAGTGGACCCCCAGTTAACGAACTTTTTTCATTCCAGTAGTATGTTCAGGTGCCAGTACTGACCGAATTTTTTCCCATAAGGAATATTGTGAAGTAGATTAGTCCATTTCAGACCCCCAAACATACACGTACAAACGCACTTACATAAATACACTTACATAATTGGTTGCATTTGGAGGTGATCGTTAAGCGGGGGTCCACTGTACTTGCATTTTGACATGTAGCCCATACATGCCCTAGGTTCATAACTGGGAGACCATGTAAAGTCTGTATGGGCTCTGTGGAATATTTGAGGAATAATATTTTAATTTGAATTGACATATAATTTGAAAAAAAAGTAGGGCAGTAAAAGTATGAAGTTTCTAAGTATTTATTATATGGAAGATATATGAAAATAGTAAAACGTGTGAATATATACCCACCTTTACTCTCCTGTGTGTGTTGTCTTATTCATGTAATGTTTCCCTAGCAACTTCAGAGACCTGAGCTGAGAGTTGACTGTGGTGACCAGTGCTCCATGACACCAGTGACAGATAGATAACTGATAATACTTCAAAATGTGCTTTGTAAATGTGTGATTATTTGGTGATAGAGCATGGCAGACAGCAGATATAAGATATTTGTAATAGAAAAGAGCTGTTAGCTACAAGATAGGAACTAGATTATTGATGTTATGTGAAGAAAAGAGTGTAGTAGTGAGTATAGATGTTATCTGAGATGAAGGTATAATAGCGAGTGTAGACATGTTTGTCAGAATTTGTTATAGTTAATGGAACAGGATCCCTGGCTTTCACACCCCTAATAATGTACTGGTAGTTAGTTTAAAACATAGAAAGACAATACCTTAAGCTGTGCTCTGTTTGAGACGTGTTGGGATAAGGTGTTATTCAGGCCATTGAAGTGCAGTGGGCACTCTGAGCGATCAGCACAGCGGCAAAGTCGCTCTGTAATGGGCGTGAGCCAGAATCTTCGGTGTGCCAGGTTACACGCCTCTCCAGCCGATGCGCACTCAGGCAGGTCACGCTCACTCCGTCTCTGTGTATGTCAGAAACACATTATTATTGTATTTGTGAAGAAGCTCTAAATCTTTAAGGGTCATACAGAGCCTAGGAAATGAGTGGTAATCAGACTTATTATACAGCCTCCTCACTTAGCGACATACTTGTTTACTGACTACTCGGATTTACGACTGACTCAACCAGTATCCAAACCTAAATAATGTATATTAGAGCTGATTTCCTCTATTCTGTTTATTACAGTATACAGTACACTACTGTATAAACATTTAAAAATATACCAGAAATGTTATAAATGGTGCAAAGGTGACATTAAAATAATATCTAAAGATGGTTGACACAAACCCCTTACCAGTATAGTATGCTCTTCACTTACCGACCTACTCTTAGGAACGGAACCCCGTTGGTAAGTGAGGAGAGGCTTTACATTTATTTTTATTATTTCTATTTCAACATGTTGGCCGTCTCCCACTGAGGTAGGGTGACCCAAAAAAGAAACACTTTCACCATCATTCACACACAATCACTGTCTTTGCAGAGGTGCCCAGATACGACAGTTCAGATGTCACTCTAAACAGCTAATATCCCAAACATCTCCTTTAAATTACAGGCATTGTTCAGCCATAATTGCTTCTTGTGCACTTGCAAATTATAGTTCTTGGATTACAAAGCTGAGTTGGTTAATGGTTGATTGGTTAATGGGGTTTAAAGTCTATCTATTACACCAAGGTCATTAAGACTAGTTGGTTGGTTCTCTTGTCACAGTGTAAAGTGCAAAGTATGGTGTTTAAATATTTTTCTTATGATTAAATCACTGATTAAAGATAAGTGACTCACCCCATTACCATAGAGGACATAAGTGCCCTTATATAGGTGCCTGAGGTCACTGGTGCTAGATTCACCATGTGTTATGGCAGGTGTGGCATCTACCAGTGTTGTTGCCACCACCAGCAGTGATGTCACTGCTGCCACCCACACTGCCATGTTGTGATGAAGACACGTCCACGAGGGCAGCCACGTTGAGAGGGCTGCAGTGTCAGGGTGATTTATGTACGAGATGTTAAGAGGGAGCAAAGATGCAGTTACTCCAACCCCAGCAATCCTGTAGTTTAAAACAAGAAAGTGCATTTAGATGGAATAAAATGCCACAAGACTACAGCTGGAACAGTTCACCATAAAGCTGCACTTACTAAAGAGAGGAGCCTTATGACGACATTTCGGTCCATCCTGGACCATTATCAAGTTGTGACTCGACAGTAGACAAGTTGCAACAAAGATCTTAAGTGCAGGTTATTGTGGAAAGGTGTATTTTATTTGTAATTTTTATGTATGTCAGTAATTAATGTCTAGAGCAATTGTTTATGCAGTTGCTGGGTTGACAGGAGTCTGTGTACTGGGGTGTGTGAAATGTTTGAGGCTGTGTTTACCAGTCCTTCCTTCATGTATGTTGGTGTTTTGTTTCTCAGGAGAAAAAGGCAGATTTTGTCCTGAGTTGAGTCTATAGTTGTTTATTATTGCAGTGAAATGAGGCACTGAACTCATATGGGTCATTCAGGGCATGAAGTGGCAGAGGCTAAATTCTCCATCCACCAATTGTGAGACAGACACACTATTCTCTCAGCCAGGTTCTTCACTCAGTAGTGGTCTTGTTCATCAGACTAAGGTCTTGGTGACTGTGACTGTGTCTTGGTTAAGTGACCATGACCTTAGCCAAGTGACTGTGGTCTTGGTCAAGTGACTGTGACCTTAGCTAAGCAACTGTGGTCTTGGTGTATGTGGTGGTCTGTTGGGGGGCCTGGTTGTGGTGATTACAGTGGATGGTTGCTTGTTTGAGTATGTGCATGCATGAGTGTGTGTGAGAGAGTGTGCCTGCGTGTGTTTTTCAATGAGGGTGGTGAAGGGAGAGGTGAAGAACGAGCTAAGAAGAGTGAAGATTGCCAACTGGCCAAGCTGATGGTACTCACCTCTATCACCATCACCACCACTACTACTACCACCGTCACTACCACCATCACTGTGGGCATCACCAGTAATACCATCACTATCAGCATCACTATCAATACTACCATTAGTACCCCACTACTACCATTAATACCACCACTATCACTATAAGTATCACCATTAACACCACCACCATTATTTCTACCATCACATCCCTATTTTCTCCTGACCAGCCAGCCAACATGCTTCATATATCTCACGTTTACTTTCTTCTGCTTCACTTCCTCACTGGTGTGTCTCACCTTACCTTATCCAGTTTTCCCACTTCCCACCACACATCTGCACCTGTTGGTGGAGTTGCAGCCGGGTGGCGGGTCTCCGAGCGTTGTCTGCAGCACTGCTCACGGCACAATGGACGATGTAATGAGACGTTTGTTCTTGCACTTGACGTGGGACAAGAGGCATGCTGTGTATGCTCACCTCCTCTTGGGCCTTAATGCTGTGCTTAGTGCCATTGTGCCTAGCACTGCCGTACTTAGCACCACCATGCCTAGCACTGCCGTACCTCGCACCACCATGCTTAGTACCATCGTGCCTAGCACCGCCATCCCTAGTACCGACTGTCGTGCGTAGTACCATCATGCCTAGCACTGTAATGCCTAGTTCTGCCATGCCTAGCACAGCTGTAACTCCAGTGCAGTACTATATGAACCAGTTCCTCCAGGTAAGGTAGGTTGTGTTGACTATGTAGCCTGCAGAAGAGAGCTTGACAGGCCCCTCCAGAGAATTCCTGATCAGCTGGGCTGTGGTGCTTAAGTTGGACACTGCATGTCATGAGCACCAGTAGCCTAACTTATCAGGCCAGCAACCAGGAGGCCTGATTTGGGACCAGGCTGAAGGGGCAATGACCCTCTGGAATAATCCACAGGTTGTCTGATATGTAACCCTAGCAACTACAGTATGTTTTGAAACATTACAGCTCTCACTGGCAGCAATGCCTATTTGTAGCAATTTCAATGTTTAAATTACCATTCGGAAATAAATGTTGGAAGTGGGGGGAGCTTGACGTGTGCGTAGAGTCCAAGCTGTGACAATTACAGTCTCCAGTAAAAGGTAGGGAAGTCAGTGTTTATGTGCACAGGGGTAGTGGGAGCTTGGCTAGCGTGGGTAGTGGTGCTCACTGTGTCTCACTGCTACCTGAGCCAAGAACCACTACAACCTTCCTCACCCGGGATACTGGCTGGGAGGGAGGGAACTCAGGGCAGGGGGAGGGAACCCAGGGCAGGGGAGTGGAACCCAGGGCTGGGGGGAGGGAAACCAGGGCAGGGGGGAGGGAACCCAGGGCATGGGGGGAGGGAACCTCCCTAAAGCTGTGGGGAAATAGGGGTTGGTGGCTTCCTGGGTTGCAGGGAAAAAATGGAGTTAAGATATGTTCAGGGGGTGAAATTAGAAAGGTTATTTTCAGGAGAAATAGGGATAGATTGTTTTTAGGGAAATGTATTGGTTACTACTTGTGTTGCAGAGAAATGTGTTGGTTACTACTTGTGTTGCAGGGAAATGTGTTGGTTACTACTTGTGTTGCAGGGAAATGTGTTGGTTACTACTTGTGTTGCAGGGAAATGTGTTGGTTACTACTTGTGTTGCAGGGAAATGTGTTGGTTACTACTCGTGTTGCAGGGAAATGTGTTGGTTACTACTTGTGTTGCAGGGAAAGGTGTTGGTTACTACTTGTGTTGCAGGGAAAGGTGTTGGTTACTACTTGTGTTGCAGGGAAGTGTGTTGGTTACTACTTGTGTTGCAGGGAAATGTGTTGGTTACTACTTGTGTTGCAGGGAAATGTGTTGGTTACTACTTGCATTGGTTGCTACCTGTGTTGCAGAGAAATGTGTTAGTTGCTATTTGTGTTGGTTGATACTTGTGTTGCAGAGAAATGTGTTGGATACTACTTGTGTTGCAGGAAAATGTGTTGGTTGATACTTGTGTTGCAGGGGAAATGTGTTGGTTGCTACTTGTGTTGCAGAGAAATATGTTGGTTGCTACATGTGTTGCAGAGAATTGCATTGGTTGTATTGCAGTGAAATGTGTTGGTTGCTACTCGTGTTGCTGGGAAAAATGGGGGAGGGTTGATGTGTATGGTGCTAGGAAATAGAGGTTGTTGATACCTCCACTGCAGCAGCAGTAGTGATCGCAGGCACTACCAAAAT